TAAAAAGAGAAATTTATTTCCTCATAGATCTGGAGTCCAGGAAGCCCTAGATCAAGGTGCCAGCATATGGCAAGGGCCCTCTTGTTGTGTTGCTATGTGGTGGAAGAGAAGGATAAGAGAGTGCCCACTCCTAAAAGCCCTTTTTATAACAGCATTAATCCATTCATGAACGTGAAGCCCTCATGGCCTAATCACTTCTTCAAGGCTCCACTTCCCAACTCTGTTAGATTGGCAATTAAATTTCAACATGAGTTTTAGAGAGAACATTGAAATCATTGTACTTATTTAGTTTCCTCATTACTCTACTTTTATACATAGTCTTGACTTCATGGTACTTTAAAGAAACCCATTATTTTCTTGCCCCCATATCTTCTACTTTGCTTAACTTGGAAATTCAGCAAAAAAAAAAAAAAAAGTAATCTTATGGTACTCATAGTCATCCTAGACCAATTAAATCAGATTCTCTGGGAGGAGGACTCATGTGCTGACATTTTTTATAAAATCTCCTTGGGCTATTCTATGAGAATTGCCTTAATTTATTTTTGTTTCAGAAAGGGCTAACTACTCACCAAAATTTATCCTTTCCCCTACCATTATACAAGGTTGTCACTGCGAAGCAGCTGCCTAGCTAGGGAGTCATTCCTACCACCCCAGCTCATGCCTACCCATTCCTGCCCCATACTAAGGTAGGACAGGTGACTAGTTCTCACCAATGAATATGAACGGAAAGAATGTGTACGGCTTTCGAAAGATGGAAGCTAAGAAACGAGTGAGTATTCTTCATTCTCTTTTCCCAAGTGCTAACTGGATGCAGAGAATTCTAAGAGTTTAGCAGATGCAAAATCACAAGATGGAAGGAGCTTGGATCCAAGAATCACTGGAAGAAAAGTTATGCTTTGACCAAGCCTTATATCATAAGACTGCTTATATATAGAGAAAAACACACACTTATTGTGTTAAGCCTCTAAAATTTGGAGGTTTGATCAGCTAGAGTTACTCGTATTAGTAGAGAAATAAGGATGTTGAAATGGGGTGTTGCTGTGATAAAAACCTCAAATATGTGTCATTAAATTAGTGAGCAGGAAATAGGCATTAAGGAAAACTAGCAGATGCTGGAAAGATGGGATAGCTGTAAAATGTTTTATAAATATTGCTTTCAATATTGTGGAGAGAGACCAAGTGCCCAAGAGCTGCTTATTCTCATTTAGTGACAATTTTGCCTCCTGTGGCACATTTGGCAATATCTGGAAACATTTTTGATTGTCATAACTGTAGCAGGGAGGAGGTGGTAGGTAGATACAAGGGATGTTGCTAAAAATCTTGCAATGCACAGTACATCCCCGAACAAAGAGCTATCTGGACCACAAATAATGCTGAGGTTATGAGGCCCTGCTCTAGAGGAAGTGGCTGGAAAGAGCCAAAAAATTAATGTTACTTGTTCCTTGCTGTGTTTAATAAATATTACAAGAAAAACATGAGCTCAGAAAATAGTCAACTATAAACAGAAATAAAAGGGCTCAAAGAAAGTCCAGAAATTTGGGGGCTTTTGTAAGTTTCAAAAACAATTTCTCTCAACTGCAAACAGTAGGAAGGAAATAAGACTGACAAAGCAAAGCCTCAGTAAGACTTCTCAGTTAAACAAAGTGATTCATTTCTGCAACTAAGATTAGCTTAAGGGTTTTACTTTCCCAACCAAATTTATCTTTTCAGATGGTCTCCTGGACATTGAACTAATGTCTATGAAAATAAATATCCTGAGAACTATAAAACATCATGAAAATATTAATTATTTTCAAGGCCAACTAAATTGTTATCACTTCAACTTTTCATATCAGAATTATCATACCTCCTTATGTTACTTTTGTCAGTCTTTCATTTCCACTCCTTCAGCATGTCACATTTAATTCATTCTCCCTTTTTTACATGACTATTTTCTCTTTTCATTGTAAATCTCTTGAATGCAGATAGCCTTAGCCATGTATCCTATACATGGCCTAGAACATGCCTTACACATAGTATATAATGTTTGTTAAGTATATGTTTATTGAATATATACTACTTTGCAAAGCATTGATCCCATGGTCCTTGATCTCTAGATGCCTATAATCCAGTATTAAGAGACACAGTCACAAAAATCATTTTACAATATGACAATTCTTATAGAATCTGAGGCTCTATCAACACTCATTTTCATATTAGGCGGTACTGGAAAAACAACTGCTACCTTTTGAACATCCTTCCACCCCAACTTCTAAGTGCACAGGACTGCATGAGACTAATTACTGTGTAAAGTTGGCACTGCCTTCTATAGGCAAAACAGAGTATATTTCTAACAAGTATAGTTAGTCTTGAGAGTTTGAATGATGATCTTTCAAGATTAGGGGTTTAAACCTAAGAAACTAAATTTTAGCACTTGAGTAGCTACAAGGGTACCAAAAAAATAAACCACTACAACTGTCCACAGGAGGGAATGGTGAGAGGCAGGTGCACATGTGTACATCAAGAAAGGCTAAGAGGAGATATATAAGAGAGAACAATTGCCTATCTTGCTATTTCAAACCAAAGTAGCTTAGCTTTCTTTACTTAGGCAGTTAAATAATTATTTGAACTCCCTGGCCCATCTAGGTGGCTCTGGCATTAGGAAGATGCTAATGGAGAGTTCACTACAGATGGGAAACAAAGCAACGATTTTCTCTTCCAGACTTAAATCCTGCTTCTCAACTGGAGATATAAATCATGGATCCAGACAGGGTGAGTGGATCACATGCAGGTAATGGAAAAAGATGAAGTCACTCAGGAGCAGCAAGAGTCAAAGAACAACACAAAGCTTAAAATGTAGAGGGTATGTAGAATAGAAGCCAGTGAAGGAATGGATAAGCAAAATCTTGGTGGTTTACTTATATATCACATTACGTTGACTATTTTATATGAGCTTACAATTGAACCAGATGGTTTTGCAGTTTTTTTAAAAAAATATATGTTGTTTTTCCACCTTGATTGCAAGATGCTCAAGAACAGGAACCTTTTCCTCTTTTATAATTTCCTAAACCCACCACACCCATTACAGTCTTAGCCATATAGTAAAACTCAATAAATTTTTGATTCACTGGATTTAAGCAACACAAAGAATTCTATTCTCTACACTACTACCCACCTACCCCCAAAAGCAGAAATCTCCCAGAAAAAGCAACTTTCTAATTTCTCCTGCAGATAAATCTACTCTCACAGAACTCTTGGCTACTAGAAGTGTGAGAAACACGGTGCTGTACAGTTGGCTTTCTGAGAGTATTGTATCAAGGCATATCAATGAGAAAAATCCTAGCAAGACTGGTGAGAGAACATGAATCTATGGTTAATTTTTTAATGGAAAAATGTAATGTCAAACACAATCTCTAGTGAAGCATTAATGGAATAGGAACTGGGAGCTAAGGATTTATGACCTTGGGGGCAGATATAAAACCCAAACAGCTTTTGGCATCATCTGCTACAACTACTGATGGAAGTGCATTTAAGCTGGCACTGACTTTTTAATATTCCATAGGTGAGAAAGGGTAAAAGCGGAGATCTTACAGGGCTCATCTAAGACTGAGCAATACAAACAACTAAGCCTGGGAATATGATGTAGAAACACGTACTATTACAAAACACACTTCATTGCAGGCCACATTTGCCCTCATGTTTTCTTTCTTCTCCTCTAACCACATCCTTACCCCAGGCGACCTCAAACTACGGCCCTCAGGCCACATGCGGGTGTTTTTGCCCGTTTGTTTTTCAGTGTGCATAGGAATTTGTTTTTTTAAACTATAGTCTGGTCCCTCAACGGTCTGAGGGACAGTGAACTGGCCCCCTGTTTAAAAAGTTTGAGGACCCCTGTTTTGAACTTAACCTCCACTCTCTTCCCTATATTGTCTCATTTGAAGACTTATTTTCCTTTGATCTCTGTATCGATCTGAGTTACACACGTGCCTGTGCTTTTGAGAGTAGTGGTTTCCAATATCTTTGGTCCAGCAAGGCTTCCATGTTGGTACTCCGTTGTGCCAAGTCTTCAATTCTTTTTGACACCGCCTCATGAACTTATGAGAAATGTTTACATGAACTGTTCATTTTCCCAATGCTGGGATTTAAATTGATGAAGTGAGAAAGGATCCTGAGCATGGCTAACTGGAAACCACAAAACAGATAATTCAAGTCAAATACTTGAGTTTAAATTCTTACCTGTAGCCAAGTAATCTTTAGCTTACTAAAGTGTGAGCTACGTATCAATACTTTTGTGTGAGCTACGTATCAATACTTTCACTAAATTCATTATTAAAGAATTAAATGCCATAAGGACACTGCTTAGAACACAAAATGGCATTCAATAATTGGCAGCCTTTATAATTAAGGATACAAGAGTCCAAACAAAACTGCTAGCCTACCAGTGTTGCCAGATTTCAGAGAATAGCTGTAAACCAAAGAAAGAATAGTCTCCCATCTCTCACCAGCTAGAGAAAAAGTCGTTAAGATTCACACTCAAGACCAAAAAACAGTGAACCATTTTTTACTAGATAGTAAAATTTAAAACCACACAGCTTAACAGTAATGTTAATTTTACCACTAGGTGGCAATGATACAGCTGCATTTCACCAACATGATTAATTTTAAAAACAGGGAGCAAATCCAGACAGAAATTCCAAGCTTCTTAGTACACATTTTCACTATGTATATAGAAAAATTCTTCTATATACAATTTAATTTATAGTAGGATGTGTAATTATCTGATTCAATATTTATGTTAACTTCAGATGCTTTTTTCCCACTCTATAGTGAGGCAATTTATGCAATGAACAAAATTTTTAAACACTTTATCACAAGTCTTCTGAAAAATGTAGACATATATATATCTATATATTATGAAGCTAACAGAATTTATGGAAAGCTATAAATCTTTTTAAAGTTTTATAATTCTAAGAAAGGCACTATAAAATATTTCAATGAAAAAGTTAAACCTTTTAAAAATGATGGAGAACAATTCTAATTTTTTTTAACTTGGGGCCAAAATATGAAATATTATGGAAACGCTTTGCTTTTAAATTATAAATTAAATTAATATTAATATGTGCAGTTCTTTCAATGTTGAATAAATTTTAAGAAAATTTATCAAAATTCTGATTTACATTAAATTTTAGATTAAATAATCCCAAAGTGTGAAAATAATAAACAATGAAATTTCTTAGTATCTGGTACTTTCCATAATTATTTCTGCTTTCTTCATTAAACAGGATACAAACATACGATATTTAAAATAAAATCTCTATTCTTCTCATTTCTTATTTTCTTATCAAATAAAAGGGCTAGGTATGACAAAATTTTTGAAATTATAGATAACATTTCCAAAAATGCAGTAAAAAACAAAAAAAACTAAAAAAAATGACTTATCAAACTTCAAATTCTCAAGATGTTCTTGCAAATATAAGGTAGGAGCTCATATTACATGTAATATTACAAAACCTGTACTATAATTAGATGAATAAATAATAAACCTATACTATTACTCAATTCATAATAAAAAGCAAATTAAAACAAGCCTATTTCCTTTGTTCCCCTAAAGTTCCCCAAATTTTTAATTCTCAGTTTCCTAAAAATGAATTGATCAGAGCGATACATATATATATATATCACTTTTCCAATAGTTTCTCTCATTCAACAAGCACTTCCTATATTTATTTCATTTCCAGAATAATTTCCTCCTCTTGCAACCCACACAAATGTATGAGAAGTATGTTTCTAAATTATTTTCATAATTCATAGATTATTCCCCCATCATTACTGGATTTCATTTTTGAATTTAGATCATTCTGAAATCTAACAATATAGATCTTTCTTATCCTGTCATCCTACACAAATATACAAAAACAACCATTTAAGATGGTTAGCACAGGAAAAGATTATTATGGCAGCCCTCATAAATCAAGTGAAAGATTTTGGGAAAGTGCTCAAACTGTTCACTGTTAATTCTAACTTTAGCTAGAAAATTCAGGAAATGCCACTGTTGTAGAATGGATAATTGCAGATTTACAAAATTGAATACATGTGTACACATAATTTATATCTATACAGAGTCAGCTTCTGATTATCTGCACAAAGGGACAGCAGACACAGATGATGAAAACACATAATCCTCAAACCACTTTAGGTTAATTTTTGTATCTGTATTTCACAGGATGTGAGAACTCATGACATAAAAAAAATTAAGCCACATTGCAAAGAGGTTAAATGTCACAAACACAATCACCAGAACAATAATAAATTTAAAATCTGATTATTGACTTGAGTTTGTCATCTTCTGTTTATTTCTGATGGTGGCTCGAAGTTTACGTATTACCAGTCTATCAGGTAGAATCATATCACCTTGTTGTTCTAGGTAATCCAATAAATTTTCAGTCCACTGGAGAGCAGCTGCATGATTAATATGTTTCTCTGGAATCAGTTCTATTTCCTCTTCTTCATTTTCACTGGATTCATCTGTCTGGCCTTGTGCTCTTCTGATGATTTCACTGTCAGTTAGTATTTCATAACCTGGTTCAGTACTGTCTACTTCAAGCCATTTTTCAATGTTCTCAATAGTAACATTTTCCAATCCTTTGGTGTGCCGTAAAATGGTGGCCACAGTAGCCACAGAAATATCTTCTTCATCAAAGTCCAAGCCTTCTTTCTCCTCTATCATAGGGAGAATCTTCTTCCATGCTCTGCTAATGGTAACCGGTTTTACTAAGTTCCATGCCATTGCTATTTCATAAAGTGCATCCAGTAGAGTTAGTTTCTTCCAGAATGATTTCAAGTCATTACCTTCTTCCAAGTTGTTCTGGAGAAGACCTGCACGATAGTTTCTCTTCATCATTGCTATGACTCCCTGATCTGAGGGCTGAATCAATGAAGCCACATTAGGTGGTAAATATTTAGCAAATATTTGGCCATCATCTGACCTCAGGACGTTTTCATTTGGATGTGTTGGCGAATTATCCAACAAGAGCACAGCCTTTTCCTGCAAGCCTTTGGATCTTAAGTACTCCCGAACTTGTGGCACAAAAATCTTGTTAAACCATTGTCGGAAAATGGAAAGATCCATCCATGCACCCTTTTGGCTGAAATAAGAGACAGGCAGGTTTAAGGTGTCAGTTGACTTGAAGGAGCGAGGTTTCTTTGCTTTCCCCACAACACAAAGTTTAAGTTTATGTAAACCTGTTGCATTGGCACAACACATGATAGTGATTCTTTCTTCAATTGATTTGTGCCCAGGGACAGTGCATTTACCTTTGATTACTGAAGTCCTGGAAGGCAGACACTTCCAAAAGAGTCCAGTTTCATCTGCATTGTAGATTTGTTCAGGCTGCAAATTCTCTCGTTCAATAAAATCTCGAAATTTGTTACAAAAATATTCCACAGCAGTCTCATCTCCATTTAATCTTTCATTTCTAATGTTAACTTCACTAATGCTATGCCGCTGCTTAAAACGAGTTAACCAACCAGCAGAGGGATTAAAATCACCATCCATACCCAAAGCATAAAAGAAGAACTCTGCTCTTTTTGCACAAATTGGTCCAGATATGGGATTCCCTTTTGCTCTTTGCTGGTTGAACCATTCCAACATAGCTCTGTCCAGTTCCTCATACATGGATGGCTTCATAGATTTCCTCTTGGCCAGAAGACTTGTGGAATCAGAACTGCTCGCATAAGTTATAATCTTTTCCTTATTTTTCCTTATATCCCGAACTGTTGTTTCACCAATTCCATAAATCACTGCCAGTTGTTTCGAAGAATCTCCATCCTCAAGTTTCTTTATTATGTCAAGTTTATCTTTAATAGTTAATACCACACGCTTCCGTTTCCCTGACATGGTGAGGCTCTGGGTCTTACCCCACACTCACTGTAGCAATCCTAAAATGCCTTCTTCTCTTACACACTCACTTTAACACAGTCTCACACCAACTCAGTCTTTCAACATTACCAGCAACCTGGTGGCACTGACTCCCTCCCAGGATGGGTCTGGCTGGCAAACAGACTGCAGAGCAAGGTGAAAGAGGAAGTTTGAAGGAACAGGCCTTTAACTTACATGGGCAGTAGAGGAGGCCCCAAATCACCGCGGATAATCCGGATTACAGACATGTGTTTTATTACCCCAGTGGCCGCGAGGAAGACTATAACCTCACCGTGGCCACCAACCACCTGCACGTCCAGATGCCCTATAAACGCCAGTCACTAACCCCTGCCACACCCCAAAGTTACGGCAAAGAGCGGAAGAGCTCCGGAGTCAGGGACTGGCTCCCTTCCCCAGGGGAATGGTTACGTTTGAGCCCTTCCCCAGTAGCGGGGCCCTCCCGCCGCGCAGCCCCACTTCCTGAGGCCAGGCTCAGCCTGGACAGTCCTCCCGGTCCCTCACAGCCCGCCGAGCCCTTCTCCCCACCTCAGTAGCAACCAGGACCCTGCACCGCTCCCTCACTATCGCGCCGCGGCCGCTCCTCCCTCAACCACGCTCCCGGAAGACGCTCCCTGCCGCCTCCCGGCTCCGCCCCTCGCCCCTCCCAGAGGCGGGACTTCCCTTGGTTCCCGGAAGGGGGAGGAGCGTAGCTTGTCTGGAGCTGTTGCCCTGGGCGGAGGCGGAGGCGGAGGCAGAGGCGGAGGCGCTTTGAAAGGTGAGAGCGCGAGGGCGGTGCGGGGCCCGCTCCCGGCGGGAACTCGCTCTTTCTCCGGCCGCTAATGGTTTATTAGAGAGGCGGGGAAAGCCGCGCCTCCTGGCGGGCCAAGAGAAAAATTCCGGCGGGAGCTCTCTGGGTGGACCGGACGGTGCCCCTCAGCCCTTTCCTCTGCTAGCCTCCTCCTCGGCTGAGCTGCAGTGGGCGCGGTGCCTGTTATTTCCGCCATCTCGAGGTGCTTGGAACTGATGCGGGAGATTGGTCGGTGATTCCTTAGGTTTCTGGCCTTTCCAGACCCTCGTTTGTTTTCTGCGTGCAGAGCTCTTTTGGGGTCTGGTGGGGGTTCTGTTATCCTGTGCGCGTCATCGCGAAGCTCTGTCTGAGGGTCCGGTTTCCTGGCTACGGTGCCCCTCCCTTCTGGAGGCAGAGTGACGGGCCCGTGGGCGGGCGGGCTGCGCTAGGTGCCTGCGTCCCGCCAAAGAGCCAGGTTTGTAATCACGAAAATCACCCTCTCGGGTGTTAACCCCCAAGAGGATCTGTTCCTCCGTCTGCCACTCATCCCTGCTGGATTGGGCGAACCGCCTTCATTATTACGTATTTTAATGAATAATATAGTTATCTCAGATGCCAGCCTGGCAGGAATCACTTTGCGAAATTGTGGAGTATTGGACCATGATTCTAAGTGGAGGAGACTGGCTTTCCTCTCTTTATGTTTCTTATCTCCCTGTTGTGCTGTCCTTTTTTCCAGGCAATAGAAGGACTATGGTAAATTTAATTACAGCAATATGATAACTTAATCAGACTTATATACTATGGCCTTCAAATCGTGTATTATGCTGGCTTGTTTTGGCTGTCCCTAGTAATTTCATCAGATTGTGAGCTCCTTGGGAGCAGAGACCCTGTTTATTTCATCTAGGAACACCCATCTCTGAGCATGCCCTGGCATTTTGGTAGATACTCAATAACTATTTCTTTGGTTTATTAATGTTTCCTCTCTAAACTGCCATATAAAAGAAAACATCAAGGAGGGGTAATGGTTTTGCATCCCTTCTGGTGGAATTTCAAATAATGGCCTGGGGCTTCCACTGCCTCTCAAATCTTAAAAGTGTAAACTACCACCTGCATTGCTTATACAGCATGTAGGTGATTTCTAGAATGAATCTTTTCTTGGGTATGAATTAACTTCAAAGTCTAGAAGAAAGAATATTTCTTCAGATAGGAAATTCAAATGGCATCATCAAAGTACCTTCTTTTAGGTGTAAAGTTACTGTGTTAGAGAAAGAACACAAGCAACATGGATTATTGCTATTAATTTAAATTCTTTGGCAGACAGCATAGCTATGTATGTGCGTCTTAAATGAATATTAACCATGAAGCACAAAGATGTGATAGTATTGATCTTCTTCATTCACTTATTTAATGCTTTCTGTTTGGAGTCTCTTTGTTTTTCTCTTTCCTAAAGGTAAGGTATCATTACAGAAGCTTGATAAAATTCTCATTTTAGGAAATTGAGTGTATATTCAGCATATACCGAAGTTACATCCATTTGCATGGATTCTTTTTTGAGTGAATTCTAAAGATCAAGAGATGTATTACCCATCAGACTAGCTTTTCCTTTTCATTTCTCTTCCCAGGTTAACCCACCTTTTCTCTCTGTCAGCATTCTTCCCTCCCCAGCTAATGTAATAAAGATATCCACAATTTAAAAAGAGGAGCCAACCATATTCAAATTATCTTTTTTTTAGTAACAGAATTTTTGACCTTATTTATATAAGTGGCAATTTTGAAATATAGTAAAAACTCTAGCAATTTGGTACTTGGCCAAATGAAACTTGATTTATTTTATTTAAATACAATGTGCCTCCTCAAACATTCAAATTCTGTAGTTTCCCAAAATAAGTATTTTTCTAATCAGACTACCTTTCTTTGATATTTTTACTTTTGGGCTCATTGGGGACTACCTTAAATTTTGTGATCCGTGTCATCAATAAGATGGTAGGGGGAAGTCTGCAAATTTTCATCTCTTTTGAACATTCTTTTCTTGCCTAGTGGAAAAATAATTTCCAGAAGTTTCTGGCCTAACTCATGTGCACCAAAATTTAGTTACATAATAAAAAAAGCATGTTTGTAAACTCTAAACCATTTTAATGGTTGTTTTCTGGAACTAAAATTTAGCATGAATGAGAGATAAAATAATGACTTTTGAAAGGCTTAATTTTTACTACTTTGTACAAATATGATATTGGCAGCAGTTATTGTGTAGCACTGGACCGGGAATCAGGAGACCTGGTTTCTAATCCCTGCTCTGTCACTAGCAAGCTGTGGGATCTTCGGTAAGTCATTTAAACTCTATGTCCTTGGCTTTGATATTTACAAATAAAGATAGATAGTATCTTTCTCCTAGGATCATTGTCAGAATTTAAAAATAAATATGAAAATGTACTGAAAAATTATAAGGGGTTTCTTTTATACTTTAACTGTTTGTAGTCATGGGTCTTTTTAGTAGTGTGACATTCTTAATGTTTTCTACCATTGTCATAGGAATCACCTATTTAAATAATAAATGTCTTTTGGGCATGTTATAGTTTTGTAAGATAATCATCTAGTGTATATGAATCTGCTTTTGGGTACTAATAAAATCATCTTTCACTTTAATGTTTCTTCCCATATTTGCTTTAGTGTATCTGCTGCAACCATATTTGTCATTTTTTACATAATTTTTTTCATTATTTATCCCAATTCAAGCAGGTTTACTAGAAAGCTTTACTTTCTCACTACAGTGTAATGCACATGCACATATGCACAGTTTATACAAATTTATATATGTTTAAAAATACTTCTTTGTACTACATAGCTTCAAAATCTAAGCTACCTAGTTTATCTGGTGCTTAACCAAAGAAACAGTAATCTATCTAAAACCTGGAAGAGAAACTGGTGGACAAGCAGTATAGTATATACAAAACCATTCTTTGAAGAGTAGTGTAGGGATTTTTAAAAAGGGTAATTCTGACCACATGTGATTTTCATCTTGGCTGATTTTAATAAAAGCCTTTTTTAATAAGATGCAACCCAAGTATAGTTTCAAATAACAAGTTTAGTCTATTAGCTAGGATTTGTTAGATTGCTATTCCAATACTGATTATATCTTTTAACACTTACTGTCATAAGGTTATACTTCAGCCTACACTATAAAAATAATATCTGATGTATAATCTTAGCACTCCTATTCTGATTTTATATGAGGTGTTACCATTATAGAGGCAGTCTCGTTGCCTTGTAAACCTTCCAGAATTTGTACAATCAAATGAGTGGTATCCTCTCTGTCCCCACCCTAAGAAAAAAGTAATCATCTTGGAAAGCTATAAACTTGGTCCAGTAATACTGCCGTTGCTCAAAAAATTTTTGGCTTTGCATTTTTGGAATTACTTTCAGAATTTATAGCACATTTTTTGAATATTTTTAATGACAGGTAATTTTCATCTTGTGAAGTTGGACTTCATTTTTGGAAGCTGTTAACAATCCTTTATAACTGAGACAAGTGAATGAAGTGGATGTTGAAGCTACCCTTTGGGGTAAAAAAATGAAATGTGATTATTTTCGTATTTTTAGGTTTTTTTTTTTTTTTTCATACCATGGTTTATAGAAAAACTCCAGGAATATTCTGTGCTATGGTGGAAGGATTGGAATAATCAGCCTTATGAGGTGATTTCTTTGAAGGGGATAGCACTCAGTTGAATATATAAGTTCTTACACATGTATTATGAGGTCAGTCTCCTTACATTGTGATCATATTTCTATCCCTTAGCAACCACAGAAGTATATATGCGTTACTGGTTTTCTAGTTATCTTATCTGTCAGTAATTGTTCCCTTACTATATGCTTGTGATGATTTTAATGGAATTCACCATTTTTTAAATCAGAAACCGACAGCTTTTGTTTTTCTTCCCAATGCCATGCTCTGCTTTACCATGACACTTTTGTTTTTTCACCTGAATACATTATTGGATTGTTAGTAAGTTTCCAATTGGATTATATTGTATCTTTAACTTTGAGGGTAAAGCAATTGCCATTTTACTAGGGCATAGAAAAAAGCTACAATCTTGGTGGACAGGTTATCTTTCAATTTTTCACTGCTATCTTTTTTCTGTCTCTTACTACTTTATAAATCTCTTTATGTAAATCAATTGATCCTTTATAATTCATGTCATTTCTCTGTACAGAATCCTTCTTTACCTCCAAGATGCATGCATCATCCTAGTAATCCAATCCTAATTTTCCATCCTTGTCTCCTTTTTTCCAACATAAAATTTTTTTTCATACATTTTTATTTACACTCATTTACTGAACATACCATATTCTTTCTCAGTGCCAAAGTTTCGACCCTTACCATTTTTGCCTTTCCAAAACCCCTTTTCTTTCATTCTTTCTGTTCAAATATAACCAATCCTTCAGAATTATATCAGAGCACATCTGTTCAAGATAATCTTCAGTGAAGTACTTGCCCTACTGATCTTCCTACATCTTTACACATCGATCACGCTTATTTTTATCACTCATTTGATACTAAATGAATAATATCCTAAATTTTTCTTAATTATTATATGTTTATATATTTTAATTCTATACATAGATAATAATCTTTTGAAGAACAGGATCATGATTTTTCTTTCTGTGTATTTCAGCACAACATATAGCACAATTCAGAGTAGATGTTCATATAATTATTTCATAGATGTTCAGTAAATTATTTGTTGAATTACTATTCTAACATCTTCACTCAGATATTTCATGTGACTTTTGCCCTTGTGGACCATTTAATAAAGCCAAATAAATATAATTTGTACCATAAATGCATTCATTGCTGTAATTTGGTTATCATTTGTTATATTCCTAATAACTTTATTTTGTAGAAGCTTAAGTGAAAATGGTACATGTTAGAAGACATGAAACAAGGAAAAATTCTAAAGCTCAAGTGCCTGAGCAGAAATCTCGAGTTGATTGGAGGCGAACTAAAAGAAATAGTATCTCACAATTATTTGATAGTGATGAAGATCTTGATAGTGATGAAGAACTTGATAGTGATGAAGAGCTTGATAGTGATGAAAGTGTTGATAATAATGAAAGTTTTGATAATGATGAAGAGCTTGATAGTAACAAGGGGCTTGATAGCAATAAAACAGCAGAAGATAAAAGAAAGCTTAAATTAAGTAAAGTTGAAAGTGAAGGAAACAACAGTAAGCATCTCATTAACACTGACAACAGTTCAACATATGAAGAAGAAATGAGCAAAACCAAACATAGGAGTATTGATTTACCAGATCAGGAAAAACATCCAAGTCAAGAGGATAATGATCTCAATAAACACGCTGGACAAATAATAGAGGAGGATTTAGAAGAAGAACACATCAAGCGAGGGAAAAGAAAAAGGATATCCTCTGTGATGTATGACAGCGATGAGAGTGATGACAGTGATATCCTAGTTAGAAAAGTAGGTGTTAAACGTCCACGTAGAGTGGTTGAAGATGAATGTTCTTCAGTGGAAATGGAGGGAAAAAACCCCGAGAAGACATTAGCTGCACGAAAGCGAGAACAACTTCAGAAGCTGAAAGAACTCTCAAAACAAAGATCTCGTCAGAGACGCAATAGTGGTAGAGATTTTGAGGTGTGTTATATTTTGTTGGTTTTGTTATTGTTTTTAAATTTTTAATTATTTAATTTTTATAAAAATCAAAGTGCTGAATCTGTTCCAGTTCTCAATAATACTATTTTTAAATCAAGTATCCTTGAATATGTTTGATTACACTATTGTATCTAATACACTATTGTATCTAATACATTGTTTTATCATAAGCCTCAGTCCATCACTCTTTTTTAAAATTGAAAGACTATTTGTTTTGTATGGTCTTTCCTATTTTAACTAATTTTAATTAATCTTAATGTCCATTTTAAATATTTTACATCACTTAACCAAGGTATATTATCTTCTCCCTAATTTCAAAAGTTCAATATTTAACATAACACAATTCTTTATTTTTAACCTTAAAATAATAAAGGTAATTTTTATGGATCATTTTTTTGCTTTCAGATTTAATCTTTTAATTTTATATCCATACTGACCATTCTAGAGGCACAATTTACTGAAGCATTTATTTTAATTTAATTAGGACTCTGAAAAGGAATCCTGCCCAAGCAGTGATGAAGATGATGATGATGATGATGATGATGAGGAAGAGGAGGAGGAGGAGGATTATGAATATGATGAAGATGGAGATGATTATATTATTGATGACTTTGTAGTGCAAGATGAGGAGGGTGATGAAGAGAATAAAAACCAACGAGGAGAAAAGTTAACTACATCACAGCTGAAATTAGTAAAACAGAATTCTCTTTGTAAGTTAAATATCAAGAAAATGTTTTATCACTTGCTCTTATGATGATATTATATCCAGTATCAAGTCAGCTTTTTAATATCATGTTCTAAATCATTAATTAGGAAATAAGGTTTTGTTTTCAGATAACTTTCATTTATCAGCTTACTACTTTATTCTAGTAATCTCAGAAACCCTTTATACTCATAAAAATTATTGATCCCAACAAGCCTTTATTTTTGTGGGTTATGTCTATCAATATTTACCATTGTAGAAATCAAAACTGAGAAATTTAAGATATATTTATTAATTAATTTAAAATAACATTAGTAAACTAATTACATTAATGTAAATAACATATTTTTATGAAAAATAACATTTTCCCCCAAAATGAAAAGAATGGAATTATTTTACATTCCTGCACATCTTTAATATTTAGCTTAATAGAAACCAGCTGGATTCTTATATCTGCTTTTGCAGTCAGTCTGTTGTGACATGTTGTTTTGGTTGACGTGTGTGAAAACAATTTTGCTTCACCCAGATAGGTATCTGGAAAAGGGAGAAGTATTTTTAATAGTATTTTCAAAATAATTGTGGATATTCTCATTTGATAATCTACCAAAATTTGGCAAGTGATACTTTAATAAAGTTTAGTTGTAAGATGCAATCTGAAACCATATAAATTAACTTTTAGTATTCACATTACAACTCCATTAGTCTGTCTTGCAGTTTGAATGGATCTTTTACCCATGTATGATTTTGTGATATAATGCATTGGTCATTTGGAAAATATTGGTTCACTGGGTTATGCAGATTCTCTAAATGTGGACACATTTCATTGTATAAATTTTTAAAAATCACATTCATTAATATCAATACCAATCTCATCAGAATATCTTTACAGTATAAACGAGTTGTCAAGTTTACAATAGGGTATATAATTTTTGCAAAATTCCAATTTCTAATTTAAAACTTGGTTGTTATCTTTGGCAACAAATATTATAGTTATTCTCCTCGAAGTGACGGGCCCACTTTGTTCTTTTTTGAGGAGGTGTCTGACAAATGCCCATGTCTGAATAACTAGAGTTTGTCAGTCTTTCCTTCAAATAAAAATGGTGATTCAGGATAAATCAGGCTTTGCCCCAACTCAAACAGTCCCACAGTGCTTTTCCTCAAAACAGCCATTGTACTTTGGTATGCAGTATAAGTTACACTTCCCATTTCATCCCATAGAGTACTAAAAAGATATGTACTTGAAATACAAGATTTAATAAAATTAATAATTTTTGCTACTTCAACAAAGACAGTTTTAAATGAAAGTGGCTTTTTTATTGTGTGTGCATAGCAGTGATGACTACAATGATTGCTAGTTGTTTGGTACTACTGCCATGATTCATGTTAAGGGGCCAACTGTTTTACCTATTGTTGCTTTTGCACTGTCAGTGAAAATGTCAACATAGTGAAAAGAGCAAGTAAATAATATCTTAGTGTTGTTTTGCCTTGACATACAGATCAGCTTAAATGGACTTGGGGACTCCCAGAGGTCTGCAGACAAACACTTTCAGAACCACTGGTTTTATCAGGCACTTAGAAGCTTCACTGAAACAGTGAAACTCATCAGAAATAGGAAGTTAGAATCCTTATATTTCATATAATTAATGAGTATATAAATAATAGGACCTGAAAATTTAGGATATATTTAAATGTGTATTGTTATTCTGATTCCTATAATTGTACATAATTTCAAAGATTATTTTTACAACTCTGATATTTTTATAACTGGTGGAAACAGGCTTTTGGATGGATACATTTTTAATTTTTATCTTCAAGAATCCCTTCTTTCCAAATATTAGAAAAGGTTATATTTACTAAAATTAAGTGTAACATGCTGTGATTTAGATCTCATGATTTATATTAAAAAGATAGATTGAGGTATGAATTTCAAGAAATTTAGCAGTTACAGAGATGCCAGTTATAGGTATCTACATACTGTAAATTAATTACTTTTCCTTATATCACTAGGCACTGGTTCACCTGGATATTTGAATGATAGGGACACTTAATTAGGAAATATCCTATCATTCTGGATAGGGATATCTAGAATGTGATAGAACATTTGCTGAGAAATACCCACTCCTGCTAACTAACCCCTTCATTACAGCACTCATCGGCCACAAAATCTTGCCCACAACTGGCGCTCACAGTCCACACGATAGTTGGTGCTGTGCATTGCCAACGAATCCGTTTTGCTCTTGTGTGATGAGGAAAGCTTTAAAGCACTGAAAGCTTGTTTTACTTTATAGGCAGCTTTACTTGTAATGTAAATCAGAATAGGTAACATATACATATATGTTTTCATTACATTATTTTTAAATGTTCATAATTTTATTTTGATAAATGAAAAATTAGAAAAGTCATATCACGGCCATTGGCTAAAGTTACTGTGTGCTATCGACTATAGTCGACGCTGGTACCGAAGTGCTAAATGGAAATGAAAGTCTAGCACATGGCAACGACTTCAACTTCCTTCTCTACCCTATATCATGTTTACTGTTATTTTTTTTTAAAGAAGATTTCAAATTTACAGAAATATTAAGTGGAAATTACAGAGAGTTCACATATACTCCCTTACAGTTTCCCCTATTAACCTCTTGCATTAATTTGGTACCTCTGTTACAACTGATGAGCCAAAATCGATAACATTATTATTCACTGTAGTTCATAGTTCACATTAGGGCTCACTCTTTATGTTGTACCTTTCATTGGTTTTGACAAATGTATAATGACAGTAACCATCATTACATTATCATACAGAATAGTTTTACTGTTCTAAAAATTCCCTGTGCACTCTCTACTCATCCTACCTTCCTTCCTCACCCTGACCCTTTGGCAACCACTGATCTTTTTACTGTCCCTGTAGTTTTGCCTTTGCCAGAATGTCTCATAGTCAAAAATCACACAGCTTGTAACTTTTCAGATTGGCTTCTTTCGCTTACCAATATGCATTTAGGTTTTCTCCATGTCTGCATGTGGCTTGATAGAGTATTTTTTTATCATTGAATAGTATCTCATGTATGTATGTACCATACATTTTGTTTGTCCATTCACCTGTTGAAAGACTTGGTTGTTTCCACATTTTAGCAATTATGAATAAAGCTTCTATAAACATTTGTGTGCAGGTTTTTCTACAGACATAAGTTTTCAACTCATTTGGGTAAATATTAAGGAGCTCTAGGCTTATTTTTAATACTGAGCATCTCTGCCTCAGGAGAAAATGTGTCTCATTTTGTATACAATTTATTTTATCTTGTGTGTTCTTACTAACAATTTCTCCTGGTTTTATCATCCACTCAGTTCTCTTTATTTTCAATGGTTTTATCCTTACAAGGTGTCTTTCCTCAACTAGTAAGCATGTTCATGCCTTTCCTTCCTTGAGTTGGCATGTTTTGTTAGCTACTGTTCTGAATCTTTTTGTTCCAGTTTCCCAGTAACTCTACAAAGCACTGTACTCAGGCTTGTGCATCCATCATCCATCCAGTGAAATTGCTCTTGCTAAAATTATTGATATCCTTCTAGTTGCCAAAATACTCTTCAGCTCGTACATAAACTGGGTATTGCTCTGTCTCTTGCTACCATTGACCATTGTCACTTTCAGAATGCTCTTCTTTTAGCTTCTGTGGTACCACTCTTTCCTGCCTTCCCTTTCATAATATTGCTTTCCTCTTCTTCCATTTACCATGAAAATTTTGATGTTTCCAAGAATTCCATCCTCAACTACCTTCACTTTGCTTGTGGATTTGGGCAACTCAAGTCTGTAAGCAGAAATTCCCAAACTTTTATCTCTAGCCAACATTTTTCCTGAGCATAACCCCCTATTTTTGTTATCTTATCGAACATCTTTATCAGAGTATCTTTTGAATATCTCAGAGACTTAATATGTATACAAAGCTGGATAATTAAGAGGTAGCAGTAAGATGTTTTGGGTAGTGATACAACCCTTGTGGTGGTGGTTACATAATTTTATACATTGGTCATGGAACTGTACACCAAAGAGTGAATTTTATGGTACATAAAAAAGTAAATCTCTCCCAGTGAAGCAGATTAAAAAAGAAATAAAAAAGTAAATCTCAATAAAATAAGCCAAGTGGATATTCTCACTTCCCAAATAAACAACAACAACAAAAACTGAATGGTTAACCAACTTCCTTTTTCTTTGTATTCCTAGTACACATTAGAGTTTGCAACTCATTATAGGAACTTGTTACTCATTGAGCGGATGATTAAGATAAGCATATTGGCTGGTGACTCCTGAGTTTTATAGTTCAAGACTCAGAGAAATGCTGGACATAACCAGATTTTTAAAAAAATTTGAGGGAAAAAAATCACATATTTTAGAGTGATAACTTATGATTTAGTTAATGTTTTTATTATAATACTCATCAATTTTATGTCATTGAATGTAATAAATAACATTTAATATAGGCAATTTTTGATTTGCCAACAGATTATGTTCTAAAAATTGCTGTTAACTAATTTGTACATTTGAAAATCAAAATTTATTTTCTCATTAAAGCAACAACCTTTATGATGAATAATGAACATCACTGTATGGCCTGGGTTAAGTTGTGATTAGGCTAGTTATTTCCAGATTCATTCTCCTGCTAACATCTATAACAACACTGACAACCATATGTTTTCAACATATGATCAGAATTTGGGAGAAACATCTTCTAACTCCAAATTCAGTACTCAGTTGAGAATCACAACTAGTGGTCTGTGCACTGTTGCCTTTTTGAAGTGAGCACTTCTACCTGTAGGAAGATGTTTGTAATTTCCTCACTATCTGCCATTTAGCTCTGAGAGATGCATATACACCACCTCAAACGGAGTTGTTCCCTTCTTACTACATGGTTGAAGCAGTTGAAGAGTCCTAGTCTCTTTCCCTACTCATCAATCCCTATTATCTCTTTATATTCTGAAACTACAACTGCCAGAAAAGATATGGCAAAAAGTAAAGGAATAGATAAGCCGTAGTCCATTGCACATCAGATCTATATAGTACATAAAAACATTATACACAGGTAGAAAGATAGGAAAAACCTTCAGATTTGTGGATACTAAAGATTATATTATTTATCTAGCACTCTATTATATGTTCAGACTGACAGAATCAAGCAGTAGAGATAAGAGTAGAATACATTTTAGTTTACTAGTGCCTTGCTAGAATACTGAAAATTAAAACTAAGTGGACATCAAATTAGTCTCCACCTACAATTAAAGAGAATCATTCTGCCAGTACAACAAAGAGTGGGCCTAAGAACAAACAACTATTCATGTTAAATATTAAATCCTAGAACTTTCCCCCTTGTTCTATAATAGGATAAGTAAAAAGTACCAGTGAAATCATATTGCAGCATAAAGTAAAGGTAGACTCAGAGAAAGAAAATGCCTGTGAAAGATGTTTCATTAAAAAAAAAAACAGAAGAAAATTGTATAAAGCATTTGCTTTGCAATTTATGAAAAAAAAGTTAGAAGTTAGAAGGAGAGAACAATTTGAGGTGAAAGGAAGCTCAGATAAAGGAAGAATTTCCAGAAAATTAAAAATGTAATGTCAGAAATAAAATCTATATTGAAAGGAGTAGACAGTAGAATTAACAGTACAGAAAATCTCATCAATGATATATAGGATATATCTGAGAAGTTCTAGTGTAGAGAAGAAAAAAAAAACAGTTCTAAAGGAAAGGGTAATATATAAAGGACTAGAAATGAAGACCCTATTTCACAAATTGGGGGAGAGGACAAAAATACAGAACAAATGGAAATCTAAAGGAAGAAAGCTTTATAACTCTAGTGAGATATGTAAAAGAAGATTTGAATATAACAAAATTCATACCATATTTTTGGATGGAAAAACAAGAAAATGTGAATTCAGAGGTATAATGGAAAAAAATTCTATTTGAATATTCGCTCAATCGGGCAAATAACTCAGGAGAGTTATTTTCATAATACTCAACACCTCTGTTTATGCAGATTAAAGAGGTTCACATTCCCAATAGATTGATGAAAATAATTTCGCAAGTAGACATATGAAGGAACTATTTTAATTACAAGAATAAAGAAAAATGCCTCTAATCATTCTCTTTAGCACCATGAAAATGGTTTAATATTAAGAGCCATATTAGTATGTTGTAGTAATGTATCAAAAGAGAAAAAAAATCATAACTTTTTGAACTTCTAAAAAGGCATTTTGATAACATTCAATATCCATACTTGATTTTTTAAAAAAAATCAGGTATTAAAATATTAGCACTAGGAGCATAGATCCTTTACATGACAATATTTTAAACCATGAACCAACATCATATTTATAATGAAGCACTAGATATATTCTCTTTAAAATGATGAACAAGACAAAAATATTTCCTACCTACTTGGTTCTAGATGCTTTAAACAATGAAATAAGACATAAAAGCTAGCAAGAAATATAAATATTGAAAAAGACATTATTTGAATACAATATACATTTGTATGCGTATAAACTATGAGTTTCTGACTCATTTAAGGATATAGAAGTTAAGAGATGGAATATGAATATTTTGAGGGCAGAAGTAGATGGTAGTGTATATTTCAATAGCTTTTCTCATGTTCTTTTTTCTCTATGGATGCAGAGAGGTGGGATATGTAAAAGTAGAAAAGCAGTCAATTTCTTATTCTGACTCTGTGTCTTTTTTAGTGGGCTTATACCTCCATTCCAGAAGAAAGTACATCAGCAATCTATATGCTTCTAGCTAAGGGAATTTTTATAAACATTCTCTTGGTTCTTGAAATAAGCTTAGCACTAGCAAGATCATAGCCTCGTTGAGGTTGGGGAAGAAAGTAGAGACAGTGCCATCTCCAGCTCAGTGTCCCAGGAAGCTCATCTACCACAAATATCCAAGAGAATCTATTTCAAAATTAGTAAATATCTCAGAAAAATGACCAGATTCACAATAAATATGTGAAACTCCATGGTTTTTTCATATACTATCAATAATTATTTAGGTTATATTAACCAAGGAAAATTCTGTCTACACTGGCAACCAAAATAAAGTTCCTGGGCCTAATCTTAAAAATAAAAGCATGATTTTGTAGATACAAAAATAAACTTTACTGTGAAATAGAAAACATGGATACATGGAGAGACAAGCATGTTTCTAAAAGGTAATACTCATAGTACAATAAGTTATTTCTTCTTAAACTAGTTTTTTGTTTAAAATTTGCAAAACAATCCTGAAGAGCAAATATATGAGAATAAATTTTAAAAACAGTAAATTGGAAGCGTTTTCCCTACCAGATATAAAAAGTTATAAAATTGCAATAAGTAAAACAGTGCAGTACTGGAATGAGAATGACAGCCAGATTAGTATGAAGGATAGATGGTGCTGAAACAAAATTCAAGCATATATGAGAAATTAATATATGATAAATGATGCATGGAAATCAACAGAAAATGATTGAATATGGGGAAATTAGCTAAGAGAAAATCTGTTATGCATAAACACAAATTTTGTTGATTTTTTTCTTTATCCTTTTTCCAATTTTTTGAATATGGGGGAAAGTTTTAAACAATATTCCTAGGACATTTTCCAAAAGCTCATCTAATACAGGGATTAAAGCACTGAAAACAATCTTGAAGAGGTCTGAGCTATAAGCCTGGTTCTACCTCTTTCTAGTTTTGTCACCTTTTGTCACTAAGAATGTTGCTTTTTTGTTAATTTTAAGATAAGAGATTTTAATTTTATTTTCTCCAATTTTCCATCCAAGTCTAAATTCTGTGTTCTGAAGTATAATATCAAATCTAACTACCATGCATAACAACATCTGTCTAGGAGATAGGAACATGAAATCTGGAGTCAGACTGCCTGGATTCTAGGCCTGGTTCCAACACTTACTAGCTGTGTGATCTTAGAAAAGTTTTTCATCTTCTATGTATTTCAGTGTCTTCAACTAAAAATAAACCTAGGGTAATAATAGTATCCTATAGGCTTGTTGTCAGAAATGAAGCAATGCATGTGAATATGTAGAATGATGCAGGCATATACTTTCTTAGTAATGTTATTATTATTTTGTTCCAATCTGAGATGCCCAGATCATAATCCCACTACTTCCCACAAACCTACTCAAACATAACGAAATAGGGGACTTCTTCCTGACTTTTTTGGAGAAAATGCTGATACACATTGATAGGAGAGGAATCAATCCTGTGGTTAGGAAAAAAGCTCCCCAGATGATTGTAATCTCTGCCGTTTTTCCTCCTGATCCTAAAAGAAACACTATCAGGATCTTGGGAATAGAAGCAGTTCCCAAAACTCTTTAGCAGATGAGTAACATTGGGCATTATTAGCACATTCATTGAAGACTGATAAATTTAGTGGGATAAAAAAAATTCTTTTGCAGTTTGTTTATAGTTAAGCTTAGGTGCATGGGAGATGAATTTGATGGTTTTTTTTTTTCAACATATCTGTTAATATTCCCAGACCACTTCCCCCTTAATACACTTTTGAAAGTGCTAGATAGAGTTTAGATGGATTTTCACACAAATAAAATTATGTACCAATACTCTATTACAGGCAATTTGATGAAAGACTAGTCAAAGTTTAATTCTGTTGAAATATTATTTCATTTTCCATTTATGTCCTACTGATTTTTAAAATACTATGTTTAATGGCCATGAACAATTCTTTTGTGATTTTTAATTAATCATAGGCCCACTAAAGTCTAAGGGCCCCAGTACAAATTATCTGTCATTTACTTTTATTACTACTACTCAATTTTGGTCACTAGCACTTCCATAGGTGTCTCCTTAGAAAAGTATGCATACTAAAATATCTCCTAAAGTCTGCAAAACAGTTATATCACCCTTTTCGTAACCAAAATAGAAGTTAAAAGATTTTTCCATCTTTATTTTCACTTCAACTAGAAGGAAAGCCAAAATCCACTCATGGTTACTAATGATAGGTCTTCTTTTGCTTTAATTCCTTGTCAGACATCGTCCATATTTGCTAAAAGACTCAGGCTGCACTTAATATGTCTTCACAGGTACCCAGATCAGGGCACATATTCTATGGTGACGGTTTGGATCAAGGAAGGGGTCATGTCTGATACAGAACATTTCCACAGCCATAGTAAACCCTGACCCCCAAATAATGGAAATAGTAGGGGTCTTCTCTCTTACCACATCGTGGTCTGTCACAAGAGATGATTTCATCTACAATACTGGGTTAATGGTAATACAGGCTTATATACATGGTATGGAAAAGAGAAGATCCAATTTTTCTAAATTGATGTAGAAAATTCTAAATATGGGGCAACAGAAAGGGAAATAGAGTTTTTACAGCCATTGGGATTCGGATTCAGGTAGCAGTTTCCTGGACAATTTCATTATGTAATATGTCTTAAAGAATAGGGCATATTAAAAATCTATCTTTGGAGGTTCTCCTCCTGGCTGTCTTGCTCTAATTGTCAAGTTTATAATTAAACTTAGGTGCACAGGGGATGATTTTTATTTTTTTCATAACATATCTCTTAATACTCTCTGAACAGTTTTTCTTTAATGAGTTTGAGAATTGAATATTTGAAATAACAACTAGAAACTGAATTGGAAGCCAATAAATTTGGAAAATGGAGATTCATTCAGTAACTAAACAAGTCACTGAGGCAGCTCTAAAATTAGGATGACTAAGCTATTTCTGCTATTTATAGTTTTAATTTCTTAGCATTGAGGAAAGGAACCTATTGTATTTAGGAAATTGTTTTGTCTACTAGATTCTAATATGTATTTAAAATTATTTCAGATTCGTTTAGTGACCACTATACTCACTTTGAAAGAGTTGTGAAGGCTCTTCTGATCAATGCTTTAGATGAATCTTTTCTGGGAACATTGTATGGTAAGTTAATAGTGTGAATGGAAAAGTTTGATTTTTATTATTTTTATAATTTTTAAACAGTTTCACTTTTAAAACCATATAGATAAAACCAAGGAGAACCATTTTTAAATCCTTCCCATTGTTCCCCCTCTAGGATTAACTATACCAATACTCCACTCATATAAAATGCTCATTAGTGTTTATTATTGGAAAAATATGGAAAGTAAGTTTATGAGAGGTTTATTAGTTCACAGTGAATTTGAGCATATAAGACATATACTCATAAAACAGCAGGGTGCCTCAACACCCATGTGCCATACCATCCTCTATAAATGCTTTGAATTCCACTAAAACTTACATACTGTTTTATGTTTTTGTGTCTTTACCCATTCTATTTCTTCTTAGAATTCCTTTTTGCCCCAGATTTTCTAGGTGAGTAGAAAAAGCTATTTATGAAAGCTCTCTATGACCCACTCAAGTAATACTTATCACTCTCTCATTTGTGCCACCATCATCCCAAGTATGGTGATACTCATATATATACACTTTTCATATTGAAAATGTATTTTTACTTTCTTCCTATATCAGAGTATTTGAAGAACTACATATATACATTTCCCATACATCTAGCACAAAATATGGCATTTAATAGACTATAAATAGGTTGTGTTTGAGTACTTACCTAAGTGACAAAATTTCATTCATGAGTAATTGAACAAATATTTATTGAATACCCGCTATAGGCAAGGCATTATTTAGAGCTGGGGATTTGACAATGATGTAAGACATGTAAGATTCCTGCGTTCACATTACTGAAAATCTAATAAATGAGTAAATAAATATATAACATAATATAGTATGATTTCAACTACTGATTAGTTCTTATAAAAAATAATAAAATAGGGTAAGGAGAGGATAGGGAAAAGTAATGTCTATGTTGTATGTTAAATTGGTCAAAGAAGGTCTCTCAAGAGGTAACTTTTAAACAGAAACCTGAATGAAATAAGATGAGAGAGGAGGTAGTACGTGAATCTAGCAGAGGGTACAGCAAGTACTAAGACCCTTAGGAAAGAATAAGTTTGGTGTGTTCAAGAATAACTAGAATAGGCGTGTATGGCTGGAGTACAGTGAGACAGGGGAGATGGAGAAAAGATGAGTTCAGAGGAATAGGAAGAGGAGAGACGGCCTTGTGAGCCATGGTAAGGTGGTTTAATTTGTAATGATTTAAAGAAACATGATAAATTTATTAGCTAGATTCTTGAAGAAAACTTCAAAGAAGGCAGAAAAACAAAGCTTAAATTCACAGACTATGACAGATAGGTATAAATAGAGCATATAATATGAACCAAATAAGGAAGGTAGAAATGAGTGTACCATGCCAGAGGGGAGTGAAGAAGAGATCTAGCCAGAGAACAGGATTCTGACTTGTTGAAATGAGGAGTTATCACTTCGGTAAAAAGGAGCCAAGTGCAGAGAGCCCTTGAAAGCCTACTCAGAACTTTGAGCTTTATTTGGAATTCAGTGGATAAATAATCTATGTCAGTTTTGTATAAGAGAATAAAAGATAATTTGGCAACCTTTTTCATCTTGCTCTTTTTGTTATCAGAAAATAATGTTGAAGCTTGATACTTATAAGAACTACAGAATCTTTTACCCCGTTTTCTTTGCTAATGTTCTGGTAGAATTATTTTTTTACTTCATTAATTTTTTTCCCAATTTAAAATGCTTCCAACCAACCAATTAACTTCCTAAAACTGTGGGAAAAGATCCTTAAGTATTAAATTGTTTAACTGTTTCATATGGACAAAATGATTTTTTTTTGTTTTCGTTGATCTCCTGACAGATGGCACTAGGCAAAAGTCATACGCTCAAGATATGCTGACATCTCTTCATTATTTGGATAACCGCTTTGTTCAGCCTCGTCTAGAGAGTTTAGCTTCTAGAAGTCGTTGGAAAGAGCAATATAAGGTATACAGTTTGTTTTTGAATCTGTGGTGAGGCTATGGGGACAGTGGACCTCTCAGGATTTCAATATGCAATCAGACTGAATAATCTTCTAAAGTGTTGGCATTTATTTGTTAAATAATCAGCTTATTATTTCTCACTTCTTCTTAAAGCTATTATTGTTTTAATCATCCACACTAACTATATCTGTCCCGTAATTAAGTGGTTCTAAATGACAAATAACTTCTGAACATCTCTAGGGTCTAGCCCATCTTTTAAAATGAGGAAATTGTCTCACAAGATGTTAATAGTTGTTTGAGAAAAGAGAGTTCCATAGTCAAAGAAATTTGAGAAACAGTGAGTTTAATTAGTTTCTTTCCTGGAGGACTTTCAGGAGCATTAATATGTGAATTTACACTGTAAATATTCAAGAGGGAGATAAAGAATATAATACTTTCTAAATTCATGTTTTACTGGGTAAGGTTCCTTTTCATGAAATATCTATTAATGCCTTCTAGGATGTTTGATTTCCATAAAATATTGTTTGGGAAGCACTAACCTGGATAGTGTTTGACATTCTTCTTTACCTTAAGATTTTGTAATTCTACCAATCTGGTAGGCGGGGCACCTTTTTAATTTATAAGATTTGCAAGATTCCATTTTATCCTGTAGATTTCTATTGTATGATCTCTAATAGTAGAGGATGTAGTGTATGATTTTTAAGGATTTTCCTCCCCTTCTAACATTCTATGTTTTAAGGATCAGCAAGAGGAAAAAGGGAAAGATAACAGAAGTGTAAGTTCATTAAAATCATTCTAGCACTTACATCATTTAGCACCGCTACCCCATTTATGTCAGGGGATTTGTTTTTATCCAAGGCCTTTTCAGCCTTGAATTACCTAATGATAAATAGATGGTTATGTTTAAGAGATATTTGTAGGGTTACAAAAAGAATCAGAAGACTTAAAGTTGGAGGATGACTTAAGATTAGGAATACCATATATCTTTTTGACAGTGGGTAAGTTTTTAACCTCTTGGAACCCTGATTTCTTCCTCAGATATGGAAAAAAATTAGCTAGTATGAAAGGAAATACTGTATTTACTTACTTTGAAGATAAAGTATATAGCTCTTAGAACATGGCATAAACATTGTTTTCTTTAATAGAAAGAAAAATAGCATATATAAGCATGCCTTGTTTTACTGTGCTTCATTTTACCGCACTTTGTAGTTATCACAGTTTTTACAAATTTAAGGTTTGTAGCATCCCTGCTTCAAGCACGTATGCCAGGACCGCCATATTTCCAGGAGCATATGGTCACTTTGTGTCTCTGTGTCACATTTTGGCAATTCTCCTTGCAATATCTAAAACTTTTTCATTATTTTATCTTTTATAGTGATCTATGATCAGTGATCTCTGATGTTAATATTATAATTACTTTGAGGTGTTACAAACCATGCCCATATAAGAGGGTGAATGTAATTGATAAACGTTGTAGTGTTCTAACTGCTTTATCAACTGGCCATTCCCCTGTCTCTCTCCCTCTCCTTGGGCTTCCCTATTTCCTGAGACACAACATTATTGAAATTAGGCCAATTAAATACCCTAAAATGGCCTCTAAGTGTTCAAATAAAAGGAAAGTCACATATCTCTCACTTTAAATCAAAAGCTAGAAATGATTAAGCTTTTTGAGGAAGGCATGTCTAAAGCTGGGACAGGCTGAAAGCTAGGCCTCTTGTGCCAGTTAGCCAAGTTGTGAATGCAAAGGAAAGTTCCTGAAGTAAATTAAAAGTGCTACCCAGTGAACATACAAATGATAAGAAAGTGAAACAGCCTTATTGCTGATATGGAAAAATTTTTAGTGGTCATCTGGATAGAAGATCAAACCAGCCACACATTCCCTTAAGCCAAAGCATAATCCAGAGCAAGGTCCTTTTTAACTCTATGAATACTAACAGAGGTAAGGAAGCTGCAGAAGAAGTTTGAAACTAGCAGAGATTGGTTCATGAGGTTCAAGGAAAGAAGTTATCTTCATAACAGAAAAGTGTTAGGTGAAGCAGCAAGTGCTTATGTGGAAGTTGCAGCAGGTTATCCAGAAGATCTAGTTAGGATCATTGATGAAGGTGGCAACACTAAGCAGCATGTTTTCAACGTAGTTGAAAGAGCCTTCTATTGCAAGAAGGGGATATCTAGGACTTTTATAGTGAGGAAGAAGTCAATGCCTGGCTTCAAAGCTTCAAAGGACAGGATGAGTCTCTTGTTAGGGGCTATTGCAGCTGATAACTTTTAAGTTGAAGTAGAGGAATTCGCTGCAGATGTGGTGAAAATAGCAAGAGAACTAGAAGTGGAGCCTGAAGGTATGACTGAATTGTTGAAATCTCATGATAAAACTTTAACAGATGAGGAGTTGCTTCTGTAGACGAACAAAGAAAGATATTTCTTGAGATGGAATCTACTCCTGGTGAAGATGCTGTGAACATTGTTGAAATGAGAACAAAGAATGTAGAATATTACATACACTTAGTTGATAAAGCAGTGGGAGGATTTGAGAGGACTGACTACAATTTTGAAAGAAGTTCTTCTTTTGGTAAAATGCTATCAAATGGCATCATATGCTACAGAGAAATCTTCATGAAAAGAAAGGTCAATTGTTGCAGCAAACTTCAGCGTTGTCTTGTCTTATTTTAAGAAATTGCCACAGCTACCCCAGTTTTCAGCAACCACTACCCTGATCAGTCAGCAGACATCAACATCAAAGCAAGACTCTCCACCAGCAAAAAGATGACAACTTGCTAAAGGCTCAGATGATTGTTAGCATTTTCTAGCAATAAAGCATTTTTTAAATTCAGATATATACATTGTTTTTTAGACATAATGCTATTGCACAATTAACAGACCACATATAGGGTAAACATAACTTTTACATATACTGGGGGGGAAAAGTATGTGATTTTTACATGCAAAGAAAGAAAAGTATCTTATTTAATCTTCAAAGTAACCCCATGAGGAAGGCACTATTATTTTCTTCATTTTAGAGATGAGGAAACTATAACTCAGAAAAATTGAGTAACATAAAAGTTCCACAGCTAGTAATTGGGCCAATATTTAAACCTGGAGTATCTTGACTCTGAAGTGCATGCCTCTATGCCATATATGCTTTACCCTACTATGGTAGATTATACTGAATTTGGATAAACCAATGTTGAAATAATAACTGTAAGATACAGAAAAAATATTAGCTGAAAAATTTAGAAACATAGATGATTCAGCAAGACCTTAGGATACATTGGGTTATGCTACAAAAGGTACATAATATTATATGACAAACAAAAAAACTCTCAATAACTCAACATTTGTTTTTTACTTATATATCCAGTGTGAGTTGTCAGGGATGCTCAGTGCATTGTAGTCACTCAGAGAACCAAACTGAGAGCTTTCATCTGAGAGGTTTCATCTCACCATGTGCTTCCACGAATACCACAGAAAAAGGAAGGGAAAGTGGTTAGTCCATTCAGTCTGAGTTTCAGCCTATAAATGACATATTTCATGAAGTTCCATAAAGTATGAAAAATATAAAAAGTAGACCAAAAAAAGTTGTTTCAAATCATACAAATCAAAAAAGGAAACTCAGTATATTGGATACTTAATTATCATCACACTGGTAGAGGATGTGAATGTGAATTAGTAACCATGCTAATATTCTCACAGTTCAAATACTGTGATAAAACCTAATCTATACTACTAATTAGCACAGTAATGCCTAGCACGGGCCTAGACCATAAGCGTAAACACTCAGGCACAAGTAATTTCACAGCTTAATAAAGCTTATTTATGAATGCCAATTGTTTTCTTAGTTTGCTCACTCATTTACAACTGAGCCATTAGACTGTGCATATGAAGACTGGACATGTGGCAATTCCAGTTCCAATTTGTTTATTTTCACAGGGCTATAGCAAGTAGTTATAGGCAGATTAAATTATTTCTGGAATGTTTTGTGGAAAATATGATATAATTCATATAATGGAGAATGAATGTGATTTTTTTCCCAATTTTTAACTAGCCTAAATGAATTCTTTTTTGTATATTATTCTGAATTTCTGCTATTCATTCATGCCTATTTTTAACTAATACTTCAATAACACTAACTAGAGATGAGAAGATGGAAAAGAAGTAAATTAAAATCTATGAAGAACACTACTTAGTAGCAACTCCTAAATGTGAGAGATAAGGAACTAATTTTTATCCTAGTCTGATTTCTTTTCATTTAATAGCCAAGAATATAAATTCATTTTTTAATTTAAAAATATCTTGTCAAATACCTAATGTGTGCTCATTATTAAAATAAGAAATGCCAGCATATTTTGCTCTTAATATCTCTTCCTTTTTGTGATTCCTAAGATCAGTTTTAATTTGGTTAGATTTTTATGTTATTGTTATTTTTCCTCTTTTAAGTTTTATTACATTTTTAAATTGTTTTTAGGAACGGGTAGAAAATTATTCTAATGTAAGTATCCATTTGAAGAATGCTGAAAACTGCTCCTGCCAGGCTTGTGGATTGCATCGCTACTGTAGATATTCAGTGCATTTATCAGGAAAGTTGTATAACACCAGAACCATGGAAACAGATGATTTCATGTCACATGACAAACAGGTATTTTTTTCCCTCTAATTTCCATATTCACTATTTAGAAATTTTCAGTTCATAAGCTTACACAAATAACTTTAAGTTATTTTTACAAATTGAGAAAACACTAGAAGAAAGAAAAAAAGTACAAGGAAAAATGATACAATTTTTGAATGTGCAAAATATGTCTTACATAGCTAAGGTCCCCAACTTTTGGGCAGTGAACTGGTACCAGTGTCTGTGGCCTGTTAGGAACCAAGCCACATAGCAGGAGGTGAGCAGTGAATGGGTGAGTGAGTAAAGCTTTATCTGTATTTACAGCTGCCACTCTTCACCGCCTGAGCTCCACCTACCCCCCACCCATCCCACCCCACGTCCCAGCCATGAAAAAATTGCCTTCCATGAAACCAGTCCTTGGTGCCACAAAGGCTGGGGACTACTATATAGCATATGCATTCCTAACTGACTAATTACTATAAAATATAAACATAAATAAGTGCATATATAGAGAGATAAATATATTTTTTTTCTCAACATAGTCATATACAAATTTCATCATTATTTAAGCACTGATCCACGATACCTAGAATCCTAGCAAAAATGATTTAATACTTTAAAGCATATTTTCTGTTGCATAAATCAAATATATTTCTGTACATTCATGGTCTTTGTTATCTAACTAATCCTAAAGTGAAGTTAGAAAACCATTTTTAGAGCTCTGACATTCCTGTGAAGGAATAAAGATTCTATATAAAATGGTTGATTCAGATATACAGAAATATAAAAGAGATCTCATGACATAAAAGGAAAGAACATTAATATACCAGTCACACAGTGAAAAAATATTAAAGTTGACAAACAAATGGAAAAATGCTTATTGTCCATATAAAACCATGTAATTAAAACTCTCTTAAGATGCCAATTGATAGCTCTTAAAGTAGCAGAGTATGTTCAAGTCAAATGATAAACTGCAGTGCAGTCAAGGTTACACTGAAACTATTAAGTTCTTAGAAAGTAAGATTCCTGAAAGAAAAAAGGATGTGATATATCTTTTTAAAATACTGGATAGCTAAATCTAGCCAGTATCACAAAGTTATATATATTCAGTGCCTATACATTTATCCTGTGCAGATCAATTCAGTAAAAGCCAATGACATAATCATGAAATTCACTGAAGCATTATTTATAATAGAAAAAAATTGGAAATAATCCAAATAAAATATTAAGAGAGTGATTTAATAGCCTATGATATACCAGTATCATGGGACAGAATATAGATCAACCATTAAAATAATATTATGAAGGTTATGAAATATATATGTATATATGCTATCCTTGCATCTATCTCAAAATGTATGTGTGTGTGTGTGTGTGTGTATAGCTATATGCAAACATTAACCTAGTTATTTTGTATGTTAAGAGAATGTGGGCTGGGCTCAGTGGCTCACGCCTGTAATCCTAGCACTTTGGGAGGCCAAGGCAGGAGGATCACTTGAGCCCAGGAGTTTGAGACCAGCCTAGGCAACATAGTGAGACCTTGTCTCTATAAAAAATTAAAAAGAAAATCAGCTGGGTATGGTGGCACATGGAAACTAGTCTGGAAACTCAGTGGTGGTGGATCACTTGAGCCCAGGAGTTCAAGGCTGCAGTGAACTATAATCACACTACTGTAATTCAGCCTGGGCGACAGAGAGAGACCCTGTCTCTAGAAAAAAAAAAATACAAATAAAAAGGAATAGGACTGAAATTCTTCAATATGAAATTGTTTTTTCAGTAATTTTTTCTTTAAAGAATAACTTATTAAAATCTACTTTATATCCTACATACTGTAGTGTGTCAATGTATGTAAAGAAGGAAAGAAAGGAAAAGATAAATAAATCTCATTTATAATCCAGAGCATTAAAAAAAATCTGTGCCTTACCCCAAACCCACACTCAGATTATTTTGAAAACTAATTCTCCGTTTCATATTGCTGCTTGTAGGTACATAAAATTGAGACTCTTTGGAATTAACTAGTGTTCTTTTTGAAGGTGCAAACAATACTTTAAAAGAATTCACTTAACAGTGAATTTGTTTAAGGATAAAACCTTTCTCCTTACTTACCTAAGATTACCTACTTTGAAAGAAAGGGTGCTTTGATGGAAAGTAGAATTAATGGAAGAGAGTAATTTTAGTTATAGCAGTGTTGGATAGGGCACTGAGTGAGAGGCCTTATTGTGGTGAGGTTTGAGGGCATAGATGAGAAGGAAATTACCTGGAGGAATGCAAGATGTGAAATCTGAAAGGCAGTAGGGAGAACTAAAAACAATCTTGAATTAATTTTTAGTTTTGCCCAGAGTCTGTCTAGACTCCTTGAAATGCTTAAGATCTGATGGGAAGAGATATAAAAAAACAGACCAAGGGGAAATAGAATCCCTTGGCTTGGTCTATAGCACTGTTTCTGGAAACTTAGAAATGGAAAACAAACTTCTTCTCAGACTTTTGTATTGAAAATCTTGTTTCCTTGTTCTCCATACTTAACTTCCATAAGGAGCTGGCTCTTCTGCATATAAATAAGAACCTAGAAAAATACTTCAAAAAGCTACCTGCAGTTAGCTGGATATTATCAAGTCTGCATAATGCATGTTTCATGATATTTCCTTGCCTTAGTTTGTTATCCAAAGTGTTAATTTATACTTCCACATGATATATCTAATAAATTACAAATCAGATTCTTCTACTGCTTTTGCAATTCAGCACCTTCTGCTTTAGAAAAATTTGGAGACAGTTTTTAGCTCTGTTTCCAGTCTTTGGATATGTACATTCACTTGGTTCACACAAATAACTGAAGTGACTCAGTTATTCTCATATTTATCAGTTGACAGAACTATGCTAACTCCCTCTGCATAGTGGACCAGTAATCATTTATGTATCTTCTTGCTTATCTGCTTTGTGAACATTCACCACAGCACTTACTATTTTTCTATCTCAGGCAATTTTTTGATTCTATCTTTCTTGCTAGAATAGTTTCCTTACTGTACAAAAATTCAATTAGATAATTAGAAGTAGTCTCTGAAAACATTTATGAACATTTAAGGAAACTATTCTAACAGCATAGATTAATTTTACCTGTTTTAGTACTTTATGCAAATGGGATCCTACAGTGTAACCTGTGTTGTACTATATACATCAATTCATATAGTAAAGAAGTATAACGGGCCATAACAATACACTAAAATGGGGATGGGGGCCGGGTGCGGTGGCTCAGGCCTGTAATCCTAGCACTCTGGGAGGCCAAGACGGGCAGATTGCTCGAGGTCAGGAGTTCGAAACCAGCCTAAGCAAGAGTGAGACCCCATCTCTACTATAAATAGAAAGAAATTAATTGGCCAGCTAATATATATAGAAAAAATTAGCCGGGCATGGTGCTTGGGAGGCTGAGGCAGTAGGATTGCTTGAGCCCAGGAGTTTGAGGTTGCTGTGAGTTAGGCTAACGCCACAGCACTCACTCTAGCCTAGGCAACAAAGTGAGACTCTGTCTCCAAAAAAAAAAAAAACAAAAACAAATGGGGATGGGGTGATGGGACAAGTCTACTTGGAATATTACATCTATTATATGATCTGCTGTTTTCTATTAAGCCTTACAGCAGTGGTGCTCTTCCACATAAAATTGGGCTCTTACATATAAAATGTGATCATGCTTTGGGAAAAAAGTAGTATGAGAACATTGTAAAGGTAATTTGGGGTTTATTGACCTATATAATGGTAAGCAGATGCCAAGAGGGTAGGAATTAGAAAGGAAAAGAAGTAAAACATAATGTTTAATATTTTCAAAGGATATTTATGTTTCATAGAGGAAAAAATTAAGGATTTTTAAACATTTCTCCTTCCCTCTTATTCCAACTTAAAAATTCTGTGCAGATAAATTCCTCTTGTTTTGGTGGAAGTATAGAATACAATGTGATAGAAACACAAATCACGTTATTCTATAACTATATTTTATCCAGAACAGCTATAGCAGACTTCTCCCACACAATCTACTTTGATGTGTGAACACCGGATACCCCTAGTGGCCACTACAGCTATTGTGGTATCTTTTTACTCAAACTGGGAGGTAGGGCAAGTGAATTATTGGAATGTCATTTACTACTAGGATGCTAGGGGAGTGTTGATGGCGAGTTGAGAGGGTAGTGAGTAAAGCTTTATCTGTATTTTAGCAGCTGCCACTCTTGCACCCGCGCTGTACTCTCACCATGGATGTAGACCCTCCCAGGCCTCAGTTATTTGGGGCTCACCGGTCCACGGTCCTGCCATTGAAAAAATTTTGCCTTTCCATGAAATCCAGTTCTTTTGTGGTGTCGTACATTCAAGTCTGGGGACTTACTATTTATTCTTGCTTTAATTTGGTTTTTTGTGTTTTTTGGTTCTTTTTGTTTTTTGTGTGTTGCATTGATGCAGGTTCTAACTGACTAATTGTACTGGATTAAAATATAAACATATACAGTGCATATATGATGAGAGTATAATATATTTTTTTCTCAACATATCATATACAAATTTCCTCTATGATTTTATTAGCACTGATTTCACGATGAGCGCGGTCCGCCTTGCTCCCGCACTCCTCTCCCACTTCTTCGTGCGCTTTTCTCTCCCCCTTTTTTCTGTGGTGTTTTAGTATGATCTAGAGTATTGATTTAATTACTTTGATATCATATTTTTTCTGTTTGCTATGAGATCTAATATATGTATGCTGTTTCTTTCTGTCAGTTGTCAATGGTCTTTTGTTATTCTAACTAGTCTAATAAGTGAAGTTAGTAAACCATTTTTTAGAGCTTCTGACAATTTCCTTGTTGAAGGAATAAGAGGATTTTTATAATATTGTTTTGTAAGGATTGGGTGTTTGATGTCAGATATATCATTGATATATAATAAGTCTCCATGACTTATTAAATGATAGAACATTTTAATATTACCTGATGAGTCACATTTTTGTTTTTTTTTTTTTTGTGTAGTTTTCGGTCAGGTGAATTGAAATATTTATTAAGAGT